AAATTGTATGTTCTTACTTTGTATCGATATAAATTTTGGAAAGAAAGAAAAAAATATGATATTTAAGAAAGCCAATCAGAGGACCATCAAGGTGAAAATGAATCGGTTCAGAATGACTCACTTAATCGATTTTTTACAAAATAACGCAATGCTCAATCGAAAAACTCTTCCGTGCAAAATTGCTGAACTAAAATTCCTATCTCTAGCAATTCACACAAGATTAATATATTGTTTAGGTTTTCAGAAATCTATTCCCTAAGTTCAATTTTAGGACCACAATCATAGTGGTCGCTAACGTTGCTCATTAAGTACACAAATATTTAGTATGAAAAGTCACATTTGACTTCCGTAGATCGTTTTAAAACATTGTTAGTAGTATTTCCTCTAAGATTTCCTACGAATACAATTAACCTGTAAAATGCATTATTTCAATACAAACCTTTATTTATTTTTTGCCACGCAACCCCACCCGAATAAAAATTTACCATACAAAAACAATAGAACCTATTGTAACAATACAATAAAACCTATTGTAGCAACAGTAAATGTTATTGTCAAAAACAATAAAAATAAAATAGACCTTATTGTTATGTACAATATAATCTATTGTTTATGAGACATTTACAATAGAAAAGGGGGGTGGTTAGTTACCGTAACCATAAAAAAATCAATTTTTTCTCTAAAAAATTTGATCTCATTACAATAAATTTTATTGTTTTTTTATTGTGCAAAATTTTGATTCCATAGAATTTGTTGTAAACCTATAGTGGTGACCAGAGAGAATAGGTAGAGAGGCGAAGAGTGTGAAGCAAAAAAAACCTTATCGAACCGTCAAACTGGTATCCTATCGAACAAAATAAACAAAAGTTGATGTTCCCCAATTTGGTGAAGGCAAGTATTGTAATCGCTGCGAATATATTTGTTCGAATATATTCTCTCTGGTTAAAAAAGTCACTTGAAGTGTGCCCTTCAGAAACAGTTGCCAGAACTTGTAGGATGGAATCATAATAAAAAGAGTGCTGCCGTTTCCACGGTTTTTCACTCTTCGTCTCTCTACCTATTCTCTCTGGTGGTGACTAATTGATTATTTCCCGGATAAAAATAACCATAAAATTACAATAAAATATCAATAAAATACAATACATTCTATTGTTGACAATTAATCTTATTGTAATTCTATTGTGTTGGTCAAATAATCAAATAGTCACCACAATAGGTTTACAACAAATTCTATGAAATCAAAATTTTGCACAATAAAAAAAACAATAAAATTTATTGTAATAGGATCAAATTTGTTCGAGAAAAAATTGATTTTTTTATGGTTACGGTAACTAACAACCCCCCTTTTCTATTGTTAATGTCTCATAAACAATAGATTATATTGTACATAACAATAAAGTCTATTTTATTTTTATTGTTTTTGACAATAACATTTACTGTTGCTACAATAGGTTTTATTGTATTGTAACAATAGGTTCTATTGTTTTTGCATGGTAAATTTTTATTAGGGTTGGCCAATACAATAGAATTACAATAAGATTAATTGTCAACAATAGAATCGGCTGTATTTCATTTATATTTTATTGTAATTTTATGGTTATTTTTATCCGGGCAAGCATTAGATTTTGTTTTTGCTTGTATTTGTGCGTAAGCAGTCTCCAAGTGGAAGAACAATGTGTCTTGGAACGCTCACACAAAACAGAGAAGCGAAATGAGCCGCACGACGGGGCGATCCATAAATTAATTTGCAAAAAAAACCATCAGCACCGAGAGCATGATCAAACTCGCGCGTGACGTTTTTTGTTCACAATAATTGATGAATATTGTAAGATATCTTTTTGTTTTTCAATTTCAAATATTCTGCGAAAATTATCGATACTTGAAAAAGGATGTAATAATTATTCGGCAATGTCATCTATGCATTAAATCAGGAACTCCTTAATGAAAGCGTTTGAAAATAAATAAATAGATAGTAAAAATAACGATAAATTGAGAGTAAATCATGTTGGATACACGCAAGGGGTTCGTCAAATCTTAATCTCAATTCTAGATGCTCGAAAAATCTCACACTAATGAATCAATCTACGAAAAATCCTCTTTGATTTTTCACATTTACTTCTTGCAGGAAATCTTCAGCATCGTCATCAATCTTCCTTTTATCTACTCAGTGTCCGTGCAGTTAACCACAGCAAAACAAAATCTTTCCTGCATCGCGTGTATTTGTGAAATAATAAAAACAATTCAAGTGTGTGTTGCTAAAAAAGAACCGTTGATTTAGAAGCCAAGCTGCAGTGAAAGTGCATAGTTCGAAAATATATTTCAAGAAGCGAAAGAAAAATTCGATTATCGCGTGGTGGAAAAACGAAATTTTAAAACGTATCCCAAACCTGAATCATCTGATAGTGAAAATGGTGGTTCATCACCGGAAGTTGCGAAGGCTGCTCGAAAGAGAAACAGTGTTTCTGGTGCGGGCCGCACGAAGAAACAAAAGCTGAAAGACGAAGAATTTCAACAGGCATTACTATAGGACGAATCAGGATCTTCTGAGACAAACCAGCCAATACGTGAAAGCTTCGAAACTGAAGAGGGATGGCGAAAGGTAAGTCCAAACCATTAATTTTCAATTACAGTAGCTTACAGCATATTTCAACTTTGTACGCTGGTGGTTCCCTAATAAAAAATAACCATAGACGAACGATAACCCAAATCATTGAACTATTCCACAAATGGTTTGGATGATACCCAGAACACGTCGTTAAGCAAATTAACCATACAATTTTTATTAGGGTTACTTTCCATGTAAAATCATGTGCTGAATCCAAAAATGCAGTCAGAAAAAAATCTAAGTAGGATAGTTTTCTAGATACATCTTAAACAAAAATTCACTCAAAAAAATGTATTTACTAAAATACAAATATCTCCGGCTGTAATGAAGCTATATAAATTATTTTAACGCCAAATTAATGACAAATTGATAAAATTTTGCACACCATTTTACATAAGAATCATAGGTCAAACATTGGAGTTTTTTTACTTTTATTTGTAAACTAGTGTTTTTACTATTTTTATCACTATTTTTAGACAATTAGATAAATTAAACTAGGGGAAATGGCTCTAATGTTGGCCTATGGATCTAAGATTGGGCCCATCGCTAAAAATCTGCTATTTATCAATTGTATCTAGATGAACGCGTCATTGGGACGGTACTAATGGATATTTTTGGTTGCTATTGAAAATTTAGTTGATTGCTGAATTTATGTATGGCCCCAAATTAGGGACACTTAGGCCGACATTACATACCCCTTTTTTAGAAATTCGTAATATTTTTGAAGTTAAAAAAATAAATTGAACTATATCTTCAACTAATTTAGAAGTCATAAACCTTTGCCATTTATAAATACAATATATTTTAAACCTTATTGATCATTGCCACAATTTGTTTCTCAAGTATTTGAAAACATTATGTGCAAATTTCAACTTATTTGATAGAGGTATTCTGATGTGTGTCAGAATATTTTTGAAGATAATTAGATAAATTGAACTATTTTAAAAATCCCCATTTTGAAAATCATTCGCCATCATGTCCAATATTGTGACAGTAAACCAACATCCAAGAATTGAAATGGCAGGACTTCCCTGAACTTAGTAGGACAGTAGGACTATGTCTATAATGGCAATCGATCAACGTTACATTGCACAGTGGGCCAGAAATTAAATCTAACTGAAAAAAAATAACGTCTTCAGTGAAGTTTCTTGAAATAATTAGGGCTACAGTTTTTTGATAAAAAAAATTTCAAGTTTTTGTCACGATATGGCGAGGTTATACAAATTTTTATATTCCACAAGATAGAGGTTTGCGGACTTGGGCAAAGTTGTAGAACGTAGAATCTGATGGAAAATTCCAGAAGACATGAAAGCTGTACATCTTCAAATAACTGAGATGTTCTATAAAATTTGTCTGAAATTTCCGTTTTAGTATTATATTTTGAACATTCGTTCAAAAGAATTCTTTTATATTATTTCTTTGATCGGTACTGATCAATCTTATATTTTCCAGATCAATGCTATTATTTTATGAGAAATAAAAAAAAATGTATAATGAAATTTGGAAAAAAAAATCATTATTTTCTGAATACATTTTAAAAAAGATGCGCAACCGAACGCGAAGTTTCATTAATTCTTCAAAATTTAAATCAAATAGACAATTATGCCTCAAAATATCTCAGGTGAATGTAATTGAGAATTGAATTGAAAATGTAATAACAATTTCAATCTGATTCTTCTTTGTGAAAATTAAAAATGGCCAAACATGAAACACATCACACACGTCTAAACAACAAATTCGTGAACAGTGATGGTGAAGTTCATTAGACGAATATCGTAAAATATCGCGATAACACTGCTTCCAAACATTTAACAGAAATCATCAAAACTTAAACTCTTACGTTGAAAATCGATTGGTGGCCCTGAAAAGGGCCGATTTGTAGTTTCGATGGTACGAATTTATTTGGAGCTGGTGTACTTGGTGACGGCCTTGGTTCCTTCGGAGACGGCGTGCTTGGCCAACTCACCCGGCAGCAGCAGACGGACAGCGGTTTGGATTTCGCGAGAGGTGATCGTCGAGCGTTTGTTGTAGTGAGCCAGACGGGACGACTCAGCAGCGATACGTTCGAAGATGTCATTGACGAAGCTGTTCATGATGCTCATGGCCTTCGACGAGACTCCGGTATCTGGGTGGACCTGCTTCAACACTTTGTAGATGTAGATGGCATAGCTTTCCTTCCTGCGTGGCTTCCTCTTCTTCTTGTCTCCCTTGACGATGGCCTTCTGAGCCTTGCCGGACTTCTTGGCGGCCTTTCCACTGGTTTTTGGTGCCATAGTAAAGCTGTCAACTTGGGTACAGAATAACTAATAATTTTGGTAAGACGATGGTGTTTCTTTTTATACCCGTAGAATGGCAACTGACACTCGTCCCCTTTTATGTATTTTAATCAAAACCCGTTTTATGCTACCCTTCTTGTATGTATAATATGCTGCTCGACGCAGGTATAAAAGCAACTTCGACGAGCTAAAACGGCATCAGTACAGTTTGAGCATAAAGCTGCTCGTTTTATTTTCACATCGTAATCTACCCTACTACATCGAAACATGTCTGGCCGAGGCAAAGGTGGAAAAGTTAAGGGAAAGGCAAAGTCCCGCTCGAGCCGCGCTGGATTGCAGTTCCCAGTTGGTCGTATTCACCGTCTTCTGAGGAAGGGCAACTACGCCGAGCGCGTTGGTGCCGGTGCTCCTGTCTACCTGGCTGCCGTGATGGAATATCTGGCCGCTGAAGTTCTCGAGTTGGCAGGAAACGCCGCCCGTGACAACAAGAAGACCAGAATCATCCCACGTCACCTGCAGTTAGCCATCCGCAACGACGAGGAGTTGAACAAACTGCTGTCCGGGGTGACCATCGCCCAGGGTGGTGTCCTGCCAAACATCCAGGCCGTCCTGTTGCCCAAGAAGACCGAAAAGAAGGCTTAAATTTGATCGGAAACCACGCCCAACATGTACAAAACCGTCCTTTTCAGGGCGACCAATTTGATTTCACCAACTAAAGAGTTTGATTTATTGGATTTATTTTTAGTTCTAATGTAGGCATATTTTCACATTTCAATCTTTCGTTCCTATGAGGCAAAATGAGAGATGAAAAATGTATTCTTAATCGACCAATGCATATAAATACCACTCGATTTGTGGCTGCTCTACAATTTCGTTTCCCCAGCTACCTGGTGAAGATCATCTCGGACTACCTCGACGGCAGGACGTCTCAAGTATACGTAGGCAGTGTTCGCTCGGAACAGTATGATGTACCCGTAGGAGTCCCTCAAGGAAGCATCCTGGGACCCATATTGTACCATCTGTACACATCGGACATACCGACACTGCTGGAAGGTGGAACACTGTCGCTGTTTGCTGACGATTCGGCAATCAGCTACAAGGGACGAGTAATGCGTACTCTCGTATCGAAGTTCCAAAACGGATTGGATGCCTACACCATATACCTCACCGACTGGAAGATTTGTGTGAACGCGGCCAAAACGCAAACCATTGTATTTCCGCATAGCAACACCGACCGGCTCAAACCGTCATAAAAAAGGTTCTAAACGCTAAAACTGAGTGGTCACCCGAGGTACGCTACCTTGGCCTGATTCTCGACAGTAAGCTCCTCTTCCGGTCACTCGTGGAAGACCGAGTCAAAAAAGGCACCATCATGCTGAAAAGTCTGTATCCGATCATCAACCGTCGTTCGAAAGCATCTACCGTTAACAAGCTGGCTGTCTACAGGCAGATTGTTGCGCCTATGCTGGAGAATGGGTCTCCGGTATGGAAGGGTTGCGCTAAAACACATCGGACGAAGCTCCAAGTCTTGCAGAACAAGTTCCTGAAGATGATTCTGAATCTGCATCCGCGCACACGGATAACCGACGTTCATCGGCTGGCAAATCTCGATCAAATCGACCAGAGAATGACTGCGTTCGTCAGTTAGCACCAAACTAGGACACTAAATTCAGAGTACGAAAAAATTATAAATCTTAACCCATAATTTTGTAAATAGTATGTTTAGTAGTATATTGTAGTTATATAGGAAATTTAAAAGTTTAAAATAGAACAAATGTTTACACTGTAAAAAGATAAATACCAATTAATAAAAATTTGCCAATGGCTTTCATTAATGTTAGCAAATAATGAATAACTAATGTTGATCACAACTATGGTAAAACAAAACAACTGAAAAAATAAATTTAATATTAAAAAAAACAAATTCAGGTTAGAGAAACTCTTCTATCGGCAACATAATCGAGCAGCTACGAACAGCCACGAACAGTCGAACAAACAGTATGAAACAGTACATAAAGGCCATTTTTCTTGTTCTTCGACCAAAGGACGGTTCTTCTGCCAAACATCTTCAAGGTGGTTTGTTTAAAGGGACGTTAATATATGGAAGCACAGCTCTTCTGCCAAAATATAGCAGACTTGGGAGACTATACAACTCCAGTATGTCTCTATATAAATCAGCCATTAGCCTTAAGTTACCCGTGCTGTAATCGTCCTAATAATAAGTAAACGCACCTTAAAACTGACCAGAGATAAATGTTCTTATCCCGTATTCCGTCGAATAAAACCTTATTTTACAGTGTAATTAGTCAATTTTTCCGTTACTGTGCTCGAGCAAACAAAAACAGTTGAGGAGTCCGGTTTATTCGTATCCGTATTCCGAACTGTAATCGTCATTATCTGACCAGATTCACGGCACCAGTCCAACAGACACTTGAATGTGCATCAACTAGGACTTGGATCGATAGGACTAAGGACTAACTCTTATGCACAAAACGCACGGAATCTTTAAAACAATCATTCTATTCAGTCAATTTTGGTTTTCTCAATCGGTAGATAAAAGATGCACGGAGAGTTGATTGGAGGGACTTCCCGCTAAAATGTTCTAATCGACCGTAAAATCTGTTTTTGAGTAAAGCAAACTGAAAGTTATAACTTCCACCAAAAACAACTGTACCTACGAAAGCATCAATTTTAGGGACAACAATTTAAATTTCAATAGGAATATTCCATCTAAACTCTCTTGTGGATTGCGAGTAGTGGCCCTGAAAAGGGCCGGTTTTGAAACGGTGCGTTGGAATAATTTAAGCGCGTTCACCACGGATGCGACGAGCCAGCTGGATGTCCTTTGGCATGATCGTGACACGCTTGGCGTGGATGGCGCACAGGTTGGTATCTTCGAACAGACCGACCAGATAGGCCTCACTGGCTTCCTGCAGGGCCATGACGGCCGAGCTCTGGAAGCGCAGGTCGGTCTTGAAGTCCTGAGCGATTTCACGGACCAGACGCTGGAAAGGCAACTTGCGGATCAGCAGTTCGGTTGATTTCTGGTAACGACGGATCTCACGCAAAGCGACGGTTCCTGGCCGGTAGCGATGAGGCTTCTTCACTCCTCCGGTGGCCGGAGCGCTCTTGCGAGCGGCTTTGGTGGCCAGCTGTTTGCGAGGAGCCTTTCCTCCGGTGGACTTACGTGCGGTCTGCTTGGTACGAGCCATTATGTTTAGTTGCGATGCGCATACGATGAATCGAAGATGTTGAATAAAAATTTTGACCGTCTTCCCCTCGATTTTATACCATAATTTTGCTATGTTCAACCAATCACAAATCACGTAAGAACAAGAGTACAACAACTAGCAAGAAGAATCTAACCCTCAAATGGGTATAAAAGATGCATTAATGGTCAAATTAAGCATCATTTTCGTTTCAATCGTACCCAAAGACAGTTTAAATCAGCATCTACAATGACCGGACGTGGCAAAGGAGGCAAAGGACTCGGTAAAGGAGGAGCTAAGCGTCATCGTAAGGTGTTGCGTGATAACATCCAGGGTATTACCAAGCCCGCCATCCGTCGTCTAGCTCGTCGTGGTGGTGTCAAGCGTATTTCCGGGCTGATCTACGAGGAAACCCGAGGCGTGCTGAAGGTGTTCCTCGAAAACGTGATTCGTGACGCCGTCACCTACACCGAACACGCCAAGCGTAAGACCGTCACGGCCATGGATGTCGTCTATGCTCTGAAGCGACAGGGACGCACTCTGTACGGTTTCGGAGGTTAAATCAGTATTATCAGCTCTAGCATCAAAACGGCCCTTTTCAGGGCCACAATATGAATCAAAAAGGGTTTTTGATGGCAACTTCTTGCAGTATCTTTATGATGACATTTTTAAAATAGCCTTGGATCAACTTTTTTCCTAGCCATTTTCTTTTCTTGGCCTACATTTTTTTGTCACGAACTGTTTTCGGCTGTGGACGTTTTTGCATGCAGTCGGCTATTTTTTATATATTTTTTCACATTGATAGTAGTAGTGAAATTACGTTTATTCCTGTTGATGATGATTGTAAATTGTAGTCTATCTGACTCAAATCTTCGTGTCATTGGATATTCTAATTTAATATTTGCGGTTTTCAACTAGTTTACAGGGGATGTGTTCGGGGGTTCGTTTTGTTTAAATTGAAAAATGTGATAACCTACCTATCTAAAGTGCTAGATCACGTATGATCAATGTCTGAATTCCAGTCAGAAGGTGGATCTTGGAATTTTGAGTCCGCAGGAACTGTTAAGGATCACCCTAAGGAGCTTGTTCTGAATCCTTTGCAGATTAAGATGATGGTTTTTGGAACAACTCTTCAGATTGGTATACCATACTCAATAATATGTAGAATTAGTTGTCTTTAGATAGCAAGCTTTTTTCAGGGATAAGATCGACTTCCTGTTGATTAGGATGGACCCAAGGATACTTCCTTGCGAAACGCCCAATGTTGAAGGCAGCAGAAGTGATGAGCATTTGCAGGCTTGCATTGAACAACAAAATTTGTATTTATCAATTATTGATTTGTTAATTTATTATCAAATGAATTGTTAAAACATTAATCTTTATATCGTTCCTTGTTATTTATTTTCATTACCCGTCGAATTATTTGAGTGATGTTGGACATAAAATTAAAATAATATTTTTATCATCCTAGTTAGCTTTAAGGTAAAGCGCATAGCGAATAAAAATTATCAACAAGCATTTTTTTTTAGCCTTGTAATATTTTGTTAATTTCTAAGGGTGGGGGATGATGAAATCAATTAATAATAAAATTTTCAGCAGACTAATTTTGATCGAAAAAAATATGGAAAGTTTCTCGTTTCTGTCATCTATGATAATTGGGAAATAACTGTATTTGTGACTGTGATAGATGACGGCTTTTTTGAAAACCAAGAACACAGCGTATGGCCGAATGCTGGTCGAAACACACCTAGCAGTGGATTGTCAAAAAATTGCAGTTCAGCCATTAAAAAATCAAATCCAAAGTGAAAATTTCGACCATTCTCATTTCTAATGACAGTGTTGCATGAATCCGACGAAGTATGTTCTTGTTATACAAATATTAAAATTTTATAAACATGACTATCAGGATCATAATGCAAATTGCTTAAGATTACTTCTGTTGAAAGAAGAAAACGATCATTCACAAAACATTCAAATGCGGCCCAGAATTGCAGGAAACTAACAAAGGCCCAAGAACCGGGTAGAAGCATAGCTACTATATACACTCTGAGCAATTTACTTCTTGCTACCAAGTTCTCATCGGAAACTACATTGAATAGAAATTATCATCCAAATCCTACCTGGTGATGCATACGTCGTCTCTTATGGAAGGTAGAAATATTAAATAAACGTTAGTCTATTTGTGAAAATAAACGATAAAATAGGTAGACACAAGACAGTACACATCAAGCGTCTTCGCCATTACCGCATAAAACGGTAACGCCTATTTTAAAGAGATTGTTGAAAACTGACAGTGAGTATGGCAGAGTGCTTCGAAGTCGACCTGAAAACTGCGAGAAACTGCACGTCTTGCTTGATAATTTGTAGGTATTTAGAAGGGATAAGTTAGGAATAGAAATAATAGATAGGATGGATTGAATTTGAAAATTGTATGAGAGATTTGGGTAAAACTGGGATAATCCTAAAGTGTCGTTCCCCCTGGTTGTCAGCCATGTTATGGGCGATTTAATGAGGGTGTATTCTTAATGTTCCGGCTCTACGGGCGATATTATGAAAATGACTAGTTTCAAGAGAAAATGAACAAAAAGGGAATTTTACACTCAACACGAATTAAAATTAATTAATTTTACGATCATAAATTTAATTAATTGCATTGGGAAAAATATTGCTAAAGCTTCAATTAAAAAATTGTGGCCAGCCTTTCAGTATACTGGAGAACAATGTTCAACACAACGCGCCGAAAGCACTGCTGCTGATGACGACGGACTGGACACTACCACACACGGTGATTGACCGAGACCGGATGGAATTCGATTTTTAAATCTGTCTTAGGAAAAGCGCTGATAGGCAATCGATGATAATTTTGCAACAGTTGGACATTTGTGTAATATTCAATAGTGTTCTATTGAAAATTAATAAAATGTTCATTTTAGAAGATTCGCAGAAAAATTATCAATCGATTGGTTTGTTTGGAATTAAAATCCATCCGGTATTCACAGAGTTATAATTGGTCAAAACCTGACCACTTTCGTAACACGGTCGATGTTGGTTTTTTTTAAATTACACCTCCAAATATGTTGCCGAAAGACGTAATCATACGTCAAAAGATTATTCCAAAAGCAAACTCTTGATGGAAATCAATAATGGTAGTCCTGAAAAGGACTGATTTGGGTGATTATTTCGTGTATGACACACGTCGGGGGCGTCGTTTCCAAGTTTACTTCTTGGCGGCGGCCTTCTTCGGTGCAGCTTTCTTGGCTGGGGCGGCCGTCTTCGGCTTCGGGGTCTTTGGCTTCTTGGCAGCGGTCTTCGAGGGCTTGGTGGCCTTTTGCTTGGGAGCAGCAGCCTTCTTCACAGTTCCGGCCTTCTTGGCAGCCTTGGCAACGACAGCTTTGGCTTTCTTCACACCGGCAGGCTTCTTGGCTGCCGGCTTTTTGGCCTTCTTCTCACCAGCAGGTTTCTTGGTGGCGGGTTTCTTGGTGACCTTTTTCTTCTCACCGGTAGCCTTCTTTGCCTTCTTCTCTCCGGTGGCCTTTTTTGGTTTCTTTTCGTCGACCTTGAGTTTGAACGATCCTGAAGCACCGGATCCCTTGGTCTGGACTAGAGTGCCCTTTTCGACACCGCTGACCAGAGCCTTTCTGATGAAGATGGACAGCTTGGCAACGTCACACTTGTAGTTCGCAGCGATGTACTTCTTGATGGCCTGTAGGGACGATCCTTTGCGTTCCTTCAGTGTCTTGATAGCTGCTATGACCATCTCGTTCGCTGGTGGATGGGTAGCTGGCTTCTTTGGCTTCTTGGCGTCTCCCTTGGTGGCCCTGGCCTTCTTGGGGGTTTTGGTTGGCGAGGCAGCAGCAGGCGCCGCGGCAGCAACTTCAGCGGTTTCAGTCATGATGATTTAAAGGGGTTCGCTTGTTACTGGTATGTAGGTTAAAATGAACGAATAAACATGTATGATGAAGAACTGACAGTCGTTTGACTCTGATGTCTGTGTTAGGGATAAAGATGTAAACGGAAAACATGAGCTTATGTGATATATTTTAATTTCTACAAGAAATAGTTTTTAAAACAACGATTTATACCAAGTGCAGGTTGATAAATGTGCTATTGTATATTTCTTAATAACGAATCGACTAATGTAGTTCTCAAATTTTAGCTTTGTAGTGTACTATATGTAATAGAAATACCATAAAATTATCTTCTTTTGAGAAATGTTAGAATCAACTAGCAGATAGTTGTTGAAAGTCAATAATATTCACCTATTGAAAAAATATTGATTGTTCTGCAAGTTGGTCACTCTTATAGACAAATATTTCCGCTACACGTTGGCATATATTTTATTGTTCTATTAGTTGAACGTTCCGTTTAAATTTGATATGTATCTGAATGATCAATGCGGTTATACTTTTCCAATACCATTCTTCATGATGCCTCAATCATGAATGTCCCGTGACTAATTATTTATGGAAAACTTAAACACTAGAGTTGGTTGGAAATGCTAACATGAAGCTTTAGTGTGATGATTTATTAGCTAGAGAATGATCTTTAGAAGAGGGTAGGTGGATAGTTCCGTTAGAGTACGGCAGTATGAAAATTGAATAGAAGTTGAAAATGAGCTAAGGGCCATTAATGCGACAGTTTTTAAAGATGGACGCACATTTTTGCCTAACCCGTACGATGTACGCGGGGACTTGAAGTATGTCTCCAAGTCCACAGGCAAAAATGTGCGTCCCTCTTTTTGCTCATAAACTGACTGCGGCTGTGGAATAGTTCTAGCGACGTTTTCATCACTACCTAGCAACACAATAGTTGGGTAAAGAAGAACTGCATTATAACACACCATCGACTGGAAATGCTCTCGCAACGTGGGGCTTTAGGTAGTGATGAAAACGTCGCTAGAACTATTCCACAGCCGCAGTCTATTCTTTTTCTATTCTTTTGAATGAAAAAATCATTTCAAATAAAAATGGCATGGTAATAAAAAGTTGGTTCTTTCAAACAAAAAATTCAATTGAAGCTTCCTTGTTAGGTAGTTTTAAAAATTACTTCGTATATATTTTATACTCTTTGGGACGTATTTGTCCATTGTTCACAAAGATTCAAACGTCAATTTCTCGAATGTATACGAAAACGGTTCTAAAGGTAGAGTTTATAATCATATAAACGAATCGAAAATTCATAAAATTTGAGATTTTCCAAGACATCACGTACTTCGAAAATGCAAGACTCACATCAAAGAGAAAATGAGTGCCAACATTTCAAAGGTGTGTAATTGCATTTGTAAACAATGGCTTTAGCCGTCAATTTCTCGCAAAGAAAAGCTCACTCATGAAAATTAATTGCACCAACAGGTAGATGAATGTTTGGAGGAGTGAACTTTCCTTTTGCGAGAAATCGATGGCTAAATTCATTTTTTACAAAAGCAATTACGCCTCTTTGAAATGTTGGCACAAAAACATTTTATCTTCGTTTTCCTTTCCTTCTCCTTCTTCTTCTTTTTCTTCGAATTTCAAGCTTATTGTTTATTGCATATTAGCTTATTGTGTGTTCTAAATTTAATGTTCTAGATGCACTTCCACAGTTATTAAATGAATGCTTTCGATGGCTGTACCTTTTTTTACATCAGTATAATTGTGTGGCAAGTACAATC